TGGTGAATTAAATTTATCTTGCTATGTATCCTCTGCGAAAATGTAAAGACTAAAGCAAGCGTAACTGGGCTTGTGTTCGTCAGTTGTCTGCGAGAAGAATCTAGCTTTCTATCTTTAGCAAATATTAAATTGGTCTGTTACTTACTCAGCGTGTGCTTCGTGATTGTATACATACCATTTCGCTGATAATTGAAAAGTAGGATCCAAAACGGACAGTAGGGAAAATAATCTATCAGTTGATCTACTAAACCTGCGAAATCCTCCTCAATTCCAATATGCTGATGAGTGAATAATAGGTTCTACAACGGACAATTTGGAAGAGTTTGAGTTCGCGAAATCAATGCCATTTTAATAATAAATGAAATATGTCCCAAAACGGACAATACGAAAAATAATCTATTAGTTGATGTCCTGAACTCGCGTAACCCCCCACCCCATTTTGCTGGTAAATGAAAGATAAGACCCAAAACAGACACAACGGAAAAGAATCTATCATTGGTGTGCCAAAATCGCGTAATCCACCCCTATTTTGCTGGTAATTGAAAAATAAGACCTTAAACGTACATAACTAAAAAGAATCTATTGGTTGATGCGCCAAACTCGCGTAATCCATTCCATTTAACTAGAAATTGAAAAATAGGACGCAAAATGTACATAACTAAAGAGAATCTTTTAGATGATGTGCAAAACTCGCGTAATCCATTCCATTTTGCTGCTAATTGAAAAAAAGGACACAAAATGTACATACCTAAAAATAATCTTTTAGTTGATGTGCCAAACTCGCGTAATCCATTCCATTTTGCTGGTAGCTGTGAAAAGGACCCAAAAGGTACGTAACTAAAAGGGAATATTTAAGTTGATGCGCTAAACTCGTGTAATCCATTCTATTTAGCTAGAAATTAAAAATAGGACACAAAATGTACATAACTAAATATAATCTTTTTTTTTGGTTGATGTGCCAAACTCGCGTAATCCATTCCATTTAACTGGTAATTGAAAAATAAGACCTTAAACGTACATAACTAAAAAGAATCTATTGGTTGATGCGCCAAACTCGCGTAATCCATTCCATTTAACTAGAAATTGAAAAATAGGACGCAAAATGTACATAACTAAAGAGAATCTTTTAGATGATGTGCAAAACTCGCGTAATCCATTCCATTTTGCTGCTAATTGAAAAAAAGGACACAAAATGTACATACCTAAAAAATAATCTTTTAGCTGATGTGCCAAACCGTAATCCATTCCATTTTGCTGGTAGCTGTAAAAAGGACCCAAAAGGTACGTAACTAAAAGGGAATATTTTAGTTGATGCGCTAAACTCGTGTAATCCATTCTATTTAGCTAGAAATTAAAAATAGGACACAAAATGTACAAAACTAAATATAATCTTTTAGTTGATGTGCCAAACTCGCGTAATCCATTCCATTTTGCTGGTAGCTGTAAAAAGGACCCAAAGGTACGTAACTAAAAAGGAATATTTTAGTTGGTGCGCTAAACTCGCGTTATCCATTCCATTTAGCTAGAAATTGAAAAATAGGACACAAAATGTACATAACTAAAAATAATCTTTTAGTTAATGTGCTAAACTCGCGTAGTCCATTGCATTTTGCTGCTAATTGAAAAATAGGACAAAATGTACATAACTAAAAAATAATCTTTTAGTTAATGTGCTAAACTCGCGTACTCCATTCCATTTAGCTAGAAATTGAAAAATAGGACTAAATGTACATACCTAAAAAGAATCTTTTAGTTAATGTGCTAAACTCGCGTAATCTATTCCATTTAGCTAGAAATTGAAAAATAGGTCAAATTGTACATAACTAAAACTAATCTTTTAGTTGATGTGCTTAACTCGCGTATTCCATTCCATATCGCTGGTAGCTGTAAAAAGGACCCAAAACGAACATAACCAAAAAGAATCTTTTAGTTGATGTGCTGAACTCGCGTAATCCATTCCATTTTGCTGCTAATTGAAAAATAGGACACAAAATGTACATAACTAAAAATAATCTTTTAGTTGATGTGCTAAACTCGCGTACTCCATTACATTTTGCTGCGAATTGAAAAATAGGACACAAAATGTACATAACTAAAAATAATCTTTCAGTTGATGTGCCAAACTCGCGTAATCCATTCTGTTTTGCTGCTAATTGAAAAATAGCACACAAAATGTACATAGCTAAAAGTAATCTCTTAGTTGATGTGCTAAACTCGCGTACTCCATTCCATTTTGCTGCTGATTGAAAAATAGGACACAAAAGGTACATAACTAAAAATAATCTTTTAGTTGATGTGCCAAACTCGCGTAATCCATTCCATTTTGCTGCTAGTTGAAAAATAGCACACAAAATTTACATAGCTAAAAATAATCTTTTAGTTGATGTGCTAAACTCGCGTACTCCATTCCATTTTGCTGCTGATTGAAAAATAGGACACAAAAGGTACATAACTAAAAATAATCTTTTAGTTGATGTGCCAAACTCGCGTAATCCATTCCATTTTGCTGCTAGTTGAAAAATAGCACACAAAATTTACATAGCTAAAAATAATCTTTTAGTTGATGTGCTAAACTCGCGTACTCCATTCCATTTTGCTGCTGATTGAAAAATAGGACACAAAAGGTACATAACTAAAAATAATCTTTTAGTTAATGTGCCAAACTCGCGTAATCCATTCCATACTGCTGGTAGCTGTAAAAAGGACCCAAAACGAACATAACCAAAAAGAATCTTTTAGTTGATGTGCTGAACTCGCGTAATCCATTCCATTTTGTTGATATAGTTATTGAGTTAAAGCATTTAATTATTCATCTTTGCTTTTATGGCATTTCATTTTTAATATTTTTTTTTAAAAAGGAAAAAGATAACCACCTTAGAGATCGAAGAGAGATAAGAGGGAAGCATAGAAAATTTCCAGCAAAGGTAAGCCAACATTTCTAATAAGTACTGAGAAATATGTCATTTAGGGTATCGCAGCTGTTTGTGACAATTTTTTTCCAGCACAATTAGCTTCAAGCACCTGACTCTTGCAATCACTAAAGAAATCCGCAGATACTAATTGTCAGCAGCATAAGAGTTTTCGTAGAATTTAAGTAAGGAACATTAAAGTGTATTCAATTCAATTTCGTCTTTACTATCAAGACTTACCAGTAGTGTTGGTCCACATGAGTTCTCTGACTAGCTTCATGTAACATTAAAAAGAATGTCATCATTTTCTCGAAATTTAAAGGGGTGCTCACTGAGAGGGATTATGCTCAAGAGATTGGATAACTCTCTCTTTAAGTAGCACGAAGGTGTTATTAGAGGATTGACTGATCACTAGCCACATATTCATGTTTTGGAAAATTTGCCAAAGCCTAAATTAGCTTGTTGCCTGAATGTCACAAAGAGGTCACCCATTTCTCTTAACAACCTAAAATTATTCATTCCTTACGTTGAGTGTCTATCATTCCCACGTATGTCAATGTGATGATGGGCCCTTGTGATATTTAATACACGACACTTCATCAGATGGGATGATTTTTTCCAACAGCTATCATGAAATGAAAATGAAGGTTTCTTGGATTTCACCGGTCGAGAGTTTGTCATTTTCAAAGAGGGAGCTATGAATGTTCTGTTCGTCTGAAGACATGAGATATCTTCTGTTGTCACTAGTCTTTATAAGCATGCAACTGCAGAAAGTGTATTAATTTTGATGGCAATTGCATCCCATGTTTTGATTTCTTACTCAGTTACTGATGCCAGGATGATTACAAAACACCCACCCTACCCATAGATGTTCATTGCTGTCTCTTGAAATTGTACCTTCTGTGATTTTGATCTGAGTCAGATTACCCTTGAATGTGGATTAAATTCTCCTAAAATCACTTTTCTCTGTGAATGAATGTGTGAAAATGTCACTGATTGAGTTCAGATATACAAGTGATGTACTGGCTATGGTTTGGGGTTGTACCTTGGCAATCCTGTATGTTACTTACAACAGTTACAGCAAGCAGCATCATAAATATTTGTTTTTTTCCTTATTAATCCCTATCAACCTTTCATACTTTGAAATTGATGAACTTTATCAATGAAAGAACATGCTTTGGCAGAACTGTAACTACTCTAGTTCTGCAACCCAGAATATACTATTTTTTTGTATTATAGCTGTTACTATTATCATATATATATATCTGCCGCTCGAGGATCGGTCTCTACAGCCACAGCCGGCGCTGCAGCTCCACCACAGACTGACCATGGGCGCAACTCCATTGTCTCCCGAGACAGAAGGACGCCAACAACATTTACATTACATAACTGAGAACAGAAACATAGACTGCTTAGCCATCCACATGCCCTATTACCAAGCATTTCAGAAATTACAGCAAGTCATCTCTACGACAGCAATGAGTGAGTGAAATACCACTTTCTTGCTTTGAACAAAATCTTACATACTTGATTACAATCTGGTTATGGTGGTTTTAAATAAGAACTAATTCCTCAAAAACTATCTTCATAATACTGTTCTTTTAACTGATTGGTAGTGATTCAAAATACTGCTAAACTTTGATAGACACAAGATAGGAAATGAAGAGAATGAAATATTTTGCAATAATTAAATAAGAACAGTTTAAAATATCTTTCAGAAAAAAAAACTTTAGATGCACTAAAAGGGACAAGGAAGGCTTAAGAATAATCATTTCTGTGTCATGTGACATCATCTTCCAACCCTAAAAATACAGCGTTTTAGTGACAATTAGATGATTCACATCGTCACCTCACTTTGCTGTTGCAATATCACCTTGCTAACTCTAACGCAGAATCTCTAAAAATGAATGATGATACCATGTATTTTTGTCAATGACATGTTTTTTGTACTCTTCTTTAAAATTATGTTTTGGATCCTCAATTTGACACAAAATTGATCATTATTAGCCCTTCCTGTCCCTTTAAGGTGTAGCATTATATGGTGCCAACTGAAGTGATCCATTCAGAAGACTTGCTCGGTATATAAATTGTTTAGGAAGAGCAAAAACTTTCCTTTCTCCAAAAAGAGTTTTCATCTGGATCGCCAGCAATAAATGGCGCCATAACATTAGATTTTGCTGCTGTTAACAGTACACAAACGTGATCTGTTGGTACTCTCTTGCCATGAATTTCTCTTCGATGTTCCTCTAAATGGCCAGCTGCCATGACAACTGAGTCACGTCTGTACACCACCATCACTGTTGAAATGGAGAAAACAGAATATAAGATAAAAAATTAATATGCAACCAACAGGGATTTCATAGCATACTATTTACTAGATCAACTTAACATGTACATGTACACAGGTCTTGAAGAAAATTATAGTTTTTGCTGAAAACATCAGAAAGTCTTACAAAACAATACTGCTATGCATTTATTGTGACTTGTACTTAATATGCTACAATGAAGAAAAACAAACAATTGAAACAAACCATTATTTTGTGAACTGGAAGCTAATGCTGCCCCAACCGTTCTGTCTTGCTCTCTGTCTGGTGTTCTGCCTTCTGTACTTTCAGACTCTGTATCTGAGAATCAAGTAAATTAGACTGTTCCAAATCCATACGTGGTGCTCAAACAAAAACCAGAAAAAAAAGAAACAACATAACAAAAACAAGCTAAAAAGTGGCTTGCATTGCAAATGAAACTAACCCCAGTTTACAACATCAGTAAAGCAGGCGTTACCTTTTTCTGGATTCTTCAAATTACCAAAAGTGCCCTTACACTTCCCTTTGACCTAATTGGATATCTTGGCAAATCAAATGATGGGTTTTCTTAATAGGCTATTTATGGTGCATACTCAAATCTTGTTACACAGAAACAGCACGATTTTGCAGCCAAACATGCAATGCCTGTGAAATGTTCTCTGAATGTAAGAACAAAATTGAATTTTTAAACCTTTTACTACCATTGACTCTTTTGTTTCCCTAGCTTCCCAAACTACAATTGACAGTGCACCTTCAACTCTGTACTAATATTATGAAACGAAATGAGTAGCATAGTGACCTTTTCTGAGTCCACTTGGTTATAATTTGTTATCTTAATTATCTTTAATGGGACATCAATTTGAAGATTTCATGGATCTGTGGTATGATAGCAAAATTCAATATACATGCTAACACTGAATTATCACCTATAATTTTTAAGAAAGAACTTAATCCTAAAATGTTACCTTTGTAGATACTTTTGCATAAGTTGTTACAGTGCATACAAACAAACATTACAAACCATTATTTGGGGAACTGGATTCTGCTGCTGCCCCAGCTGTTATGTCTTGCCCTCTATCTAGTGCTCCAACTTCTTCACTTTCAGACTTGGTATCTGAGTATCAGGTAGTTATATTGAACTTAATGTGTAAGTGGTGCTCAATAGTAACCAAAAAGGGAACCTTAAACAAACTAAACAAAAGTAGAAACAAGGAAACAAAAATAAACAAGAACAAAACAAACCTGCATTGCAGAGAGTAGATGGGGCCGCAGTTAACAACTCATTTGGCACTTTGGGAGTTGCACAATTGCTAGAACTTTCAGACTGATCTAAATGTGTGAGCAAGAAATCCCCAAGAGATAGATTTGGGGTGTAACATACAATGTAAATTATTGTAAAACCTGATTAGATGCACTCTAATATTTCAAATATTTTTGACATATTCAATTCAAATGCCTAGGAAGAAACAGTTCAACTACCTTCCAGAGAAGAGGTTGGCAATTCACCTGTGGAGTCATTAGAGGTAGATGCAGTTGTCAAATGTTCATTACCAGACCTTGAATAGTAATCTAAATAAAGAAGAAGTTAGCCAATAGTCACATTACAAACTAATATACAATGAGGAAGGTCAAGTCTGATTACATAGAAATTAGAATTACATAACTTGCTAACCTGCTAATGGAAAGCAACATGAGTAAGTGCTGAGATGGAGGGATACACTTCTCACTGCCAATTCACTTTTATTAATAAACATCATTAAGATTCAAAGTGATAATGTTTACAAAATTAATGCAGCCAATCAGTTTGCTTTATTTTTTTTTGTTTTTTGGTTTGGCACATTTTTTTTTGTCAACCACAACAAAAATATTATGATGATAAAATAGTAACTTGACATTGGTATTCAATAAATATAGTGCAAGTGTCTGTTTTGGTAATTAATAAAGTATGTAGATCTGATGGGCTTCTATATTATCAATGGAAAAGTATTGGTTTACAGCACCTTTGAGAAACTTCTTAAACAGCATTAATGCCACATCTCCACCTTCTGAAATCTTTTTGTTGCTCTTATTTCCAATGAAGGCAACCCCTGCACCAGCAGTGCCATACACAGTTATGGTGTTACCATCACCATGCCTGTTTTGCATCATGATGACAACATCACAGTCGTGCTTCACGTTTAGAATATCAGCCTAGAGTACAGTAAAGATCAAAGCTAGCTTTTTTTGTGTTCAGTGTCAAGAACTACTATCATGCAATCTGGTAATGTATGTAATACATAATACATACTGTATTTTTCACTTGTAAGGCGCACCACTTTTTACGAGAAAATATGCTTGTTTGATCAAAATCTGCTCAAAACTTGGGGTACGTCTTATATCCGAGTATTTTCGCGCCACAAAATATAACTTTTCCAAATTTCCTTAATAAACTGAAATGAGTATGTAAATAAATAGCGGTAAATTAATAAACAAAACACATCCAACGTTGACCATTGACTTTATCAGATTTGTTGGTTCTAAAAAGAACCGGGGTGGCTCTGAAAAAAACCATTTGTTTGAAAGCTGGGCTGAGCTCAGCTACTCGTCGTCTTCGGCTTCGCTGTCTCTCGAACTCGTTGTAAATCCGCTCTTCTATGTCCTCTGCTTCTTCTTCCTCGTCATCCCAAACCGCATCATCTTCAGTTCCATCGAGAGCATCGCTGATGCCACAGGACTTGAACGATCTAGTTATCAACTCAACTGGGATCTCTCTCCATGCTCGATCGATCCACCGCAACACCATCTCTTTACTGAGCGCTCGCTTCTTTCCGGAGGGCGTGTAAGTAAATGGGCCGTTAACCATCCAGGTTTCGTATTGCGCACGGACCTTTGCTTTGAATGGCTTATTGATGCACTTATCCAGGGGCTGAAGAACTAGAGTGAGCCCACCGGATATTACGGCAACATCGACGTTTTGTCTGCCAAGTAGGTCTTCAACTGCACCATTAAATGGGCGCGGAAGAAATCCCAAACTAGAAATCCCCAATGCCCAGGCGTAAATCGAAGATTTTTCCGAATCCTATCCTTGGTTCCTATAAGTTAGAAAGACAAACTGTGATTAGGCAACAGTTAAAGACATGACTTTCTACAGCGAACGTGCTAAAAAGCATGCGCTTGAAATATTGACGTTAGAAACAATCGAACGAATTCCAAACCTCGCTCCCACGAAATATGGCAAACTTGGCTACAAATCGTTCGAGGAAATTGTCGTGGCCGCTATTATATACTCCGAATGATAAAGGAAAAAGAACAAACCTTCTTCCTCCATCCAGCCCTTCTTGTGTACAGAAACCTGCATTCCTCTGGGCACCTGAATTCGTAGCTGACGAACGCCTTTAAAAATAGCCTTCGGTGGAAGTTTCTCACCATTCGCCTTCACTGCTAGGACGACCGTGAAACTCTGTTTATCGCTTCCGCAGGATAAGATGGGCACTGTTCGGTTTCCAGTGTTCTTGTGGCTGGCAACTCGAATCTCATCGGGGTTTCGTCTATGTTCAGGATGTGGCTGGACTCCTAGCTGCAACGCTGTCTGGCTCTCGACACGAAGCGATGGAATTCCACTACCTTGTCTTCCATGTCGGCGGAGCCAAAGTCGTCTTACTTCTCATGGAAATAGCATGGCGACGTTTCCATTTCGTGTACCAGCTAGGGTACTTGGCATAATTACTGAAAATTTACGGTACGCTGAACGAATGCTCGAAGATTAAGATGAGTTTTGCAACTGATCAATGAAAGATCTGCCAGATGAGTATTGTTTATAAACGGAAAAGCGGAACAATTAGTATTCATAACTTAAAACACTGTCAGCAAAGTTTCCGCACAGCCCCATACTATTGTAAAACAAATCTGTTTTCCCAACGGAAATGTATTGTTTTTTGTCATTGTTTTCTCTGTTCAAGAACTGAATGCATAATGTAGGATGGGGCTGTGCGGAAATTTTACCACACTGTCTCCTGAGAAGGATGACTTGAGTGAATTCAAACGTGTGACTTTTATGCTATTTTCCATGTGTGACTTTCTTGCTATGGTTTGTAATGTGTGACTTTTTCGCTTTTGTTTTGAGAATGAGGGCACTGTAACAAGTAACTTCTAGAAGCTTGTAACCGAGTGCGCCTTATAAGTGAATAAATACGGTATAATGAATTAGGCAGGGTTATATGCGTAACTGAACTTCACTTGTTTCATTTTACAAGAAATCATTGAGGAACTTTTCTTGGTTTTCCTACACATATACATGTAGGGTAGAGTATCACACATGTAGGAAAAAGTTTGTGTAACTCAAGTTATCTAACGAAGTGATGATATCAACAACAAGATGCCCAATTTTTTTAATGCAGTGTATATTACATTTAATGCTACTTACACGTTTTTCCATCAATCGTCTCTGGATTGTAAGATTTGTTTGTCCCATTTTTTTAATTTTTTCTAGCTGTGCAGGCTTCCTGATCTTGGGAAAGATGGCTGAGCATTCTTCACACCGCCTCTTTGCCGAAGGCTGCTCTGCACCACAATCAGAGCATGTCTATTGACCAAAAAAAGGAAGCTAAAATCAGTTAAAATATTTCTCACAATACCTTCAAAAAAGGATCTACATGTAAAACTGTGGAACATGAATGATGAGAATGGTGCTTATAAAAGATGTAATATAAAAAAAAAAAAAACAACAGATGTCATACTGTTAAGATCAACCAAGAAATCAGACTATTTAATCCCATTTTTCAGATGAGATTACAATTTGGTACCTAACCTGTTTGCCAAACTCATCAATAGAATGTCCTTTAATTTTATCCTGAATAATAACTTTTGTCTGACCATTAGGCACCTTTCCCTAACTATTTTGTGTCTGCTTTGAATTTTCTTACAATTGTAAAATTACTTTTGATAACCTATTTCAATTGGCTCAAATGAGTTTATCCACCCATTGAGCTACCTAATTGTGGTCCTAAGATCTTGTGATCTTAAGCTCACACAAGTACATGAACATATGGCACTTGCCTTTCTTCCCTTCTTCACTGTTGAAGTTCCTAGATGGAGAGGTTAGAATGCAGTTAAAGTTTGAATGCCCGAACAGCCCAAAAATTGACAGTTTCTATATAGTAATAGTATGTGTCTTTTATGGATGTGAGTGCTGAGTAACAGAAATCTAATGCCAATTAACAAAGTATGTTAATTTTGGAGATTATAGTATACTTCATGCGGGTTACTGATCTTTAGCATGAATTCAAGTGTACCCAAAGAATACACCTGAGGTTATCAACAAAATCTTTCATTTTGTGACAATAAAATGCACCCATAAAGAGAGCAAGAATATCACAGTTTTAGCAGCTAGAGTATCTACACTCTATCCTCTATGTTAAAATCCAGTAAGTAAGTAAGTCTGTGACATCCTGCTATTTCTGAAAATTACTGTCCTGTGTCTCTAGATTTTCAAAACAGGGCAATGTTTGTTGTTCTAATTACCACAGTGGCTTAGCGAGTAATTCACTATGTCATTGTTCATGTAAGTCAGTAAGCACAAGTAAGAAAGAAACCTAGTTAAGTCCGTGACCTTTCGGAAGCTTTTAAATCAATCTCACAAGAATTAGGGCACCCATTGATATCAGCGATTGCTGACAGGTTTACCCTGGCTAAAGATGGAATTATTACTATTATTATTAACACCTCAGGACTTACTTTAGTTCTGTCAACTCATTTTGGCCCTTAACATGTAGGTTCTAATTCAATAAAACCGGCTTTCAAAAGCTAATACTTAGCAAAGTTACATCAAATGCCTCTTTTTGAGGGAATAAAAAAAATTTAGTTTAGGCACAAACCAAACCCTATGAACTGCATCAATTGTTTACAATCTCATGTGAAACACAAGCCCTCTGAACAGTTAAAGTCATTGGATGATTAATTAATTACCATATGTAAACAGCAGCAGCTGAATTCATTCCTAATTGAATCACTTATCCCATTTTTCTACAAATAAAACTTGTACAATTCTTTGCCGCATATCTTTTATTTTATTCTGTAAAAAATAATCTACGAGCACAAGTCGAGACAGAAGGCTGAGAGATTTGTTTCCAATCACAAGCTCGAGAGAACCATGTAAACAAAAAGCAAGGCATTACCATGCAAATATTAAGGCGATTAAGCAAATGTCGGAAAAAAAATATTTCCAAAACCATGGAAAAAAACTGGAATTTGGCCTGGCAATGCGAAAATTTGAAAAAAATCCCATACAGAAATTTGATACACATAGGATTTATTCCGCACTGTTTTTGTAGACTGCTTGTAAGAGGCGTTTATTATTTTGCGGTGTTTTAGGGTAACCAGTGTACTAGATATTTCCTTAACATTATGGCATCATTCGCGCAAACTCGCCAATTGGGCCCGAAAACAACTTGACATCTCTTAAATGTCGTTCGGTCGACTTTCACCCTTATAACACAAGGTTTGATGAAAGTAATATAACGGATATTATCCATTTATGAAGGACACCACAGACCGATGATACACGCAAAAACATGCCTAAAAGGCTAGCTATTCACTCTAACTGCATTGCACTACTTTGAGTTTCTATTTTTCTTAGCTGAAATAGTCGTCTTTGGAAAGTGAGGACTACAGTATCTCCTACGCACACATATAAAACAACTTAAGCGCAATTAAAAGTCCTTTTCTCTTGAGGTAATAGTGAAAGTAAGACAACTTACAATTAAAAAGACATTCCATGTGAACATAACCCATACCTCCGCCTAAGCTCTATTTATTCTACCCCTCAAAAAATGATCTGAACGGTGCCAGCTGAAGCACATGAACTGCGTTCGAAGGATACGGCCCTCACCAAACAGTTTCGAAATACCCCCGAATATTTCACTAAAAGGTGACCTCTTTGGCTCACAAAGCTTTGTAGCACTAGTCCGAGGTCACAACTAGTTCTTCCCCCAGCCGTGACCTTTATATTGATTCTTTGACCCGAAAAGAGACGAAGACAAAACCAAATTCACTTACCGGACGTGTCAGCCATTCTTGAATAAATTACTCATGCCCCCGCCTCCGCAACTCCTAGAACACAGGTCTCTTCGTGCGCGTGCCACGAAATTACTATATCCATAAATTTGGGGCCAATTAAGAAATAACGATAATCGTAATTTCGGTCTCGAGATCATGCTGTAATTGCTTCGGGTAAATTTCCATTTTCCTTTGTCCGCCATCTTTAACCGCGCACAATGTATCCTGGAACAAAGCGGAAATGAATTGAGCTACAACCGGAAGTTGGGAATCACTTGTCTTTGTGATACGTGCTAGCTGCGTATCAAACAAACAGACCTTTGAGCCTTCTTAAACACGCTTACAAAATTCTGCCAAAACCAAAATGTAGGAAACTTAAGGACGAAAAAAATTATGAATGGTTTATTTTTTTAAGTTTTGTCAGCTGTCAATTGGCTGACAAATTTAGTCTCTTCACAGCAGGATTCTGCCTGTACTGAAGCAAAACCGGAAAAAAAAATTGAAACAAGGTTTTGGCAGATGGAAAACCTTTTCTAAAGGCATGGTCCATCGAATAATTGCCACGATTGCAGTAAACTTGGCGTGAAATGCTTGTGTGGCAAAAAACTTGTCAACCTGACTTCGTTTGCCCGGTTGTTAAATTTATGAACGACTCGTCACAATATCGCGACGTTGATATCTGTTGTCATGGCTAGAAATTGAAGACATCATGGCGGCTAAGCATGCGCATAAAAGACAAAATACGGAGTTTAAATATGGCGGCTGCATAAGGCTTTCTGTGGGAAAATTTTGAAAATCAGACTCAGTAATTTTCTGGAAGCGTGTACTAAAAATGCCCTCGTCTGAAATATATTAGAAGAGTGACTAGATCACTCACCTCCGTTCTCAAACTCTTACGATTTCGCTACGATCTGCCCCAGTCGAAGAAACTTTAAACCTTTTTGGTGCCCTAAGTGTCTTAAAATGGCTTATGTTGGTCAGCTTAAGCTTCTCCTGCAGCCACAACAAGGGTTGTTTTATCAATTGCCCAAGTCTGTTCGATCTCTTCGAAAGCCGACCTTCTAATTGAAGGCTATTTAAAGTCATAAAAGTGTGAATCCACGCTGCCAAACGACTTCCAAAAGTCCAAAAAATTTTTTTCTCATCGGTCTTGTTCCCAGTAGAGACTTTGACTCAAAAACTAAAATTATAAGATCTGAAAACATATCAAAGAACTCTTCGATCGCCATTTTGTAAAAACAGACTAACCTAGCCTGTTATGGACAATACCGCTACAGGGCAGCTACTGAAGGCTCAAAGATTGGCATAGATTGCAGCATTGGCGCGAAAATAATTTGACTTGAAAAACAAAATAGTAAGCTTCTTACTTGGACAAGATTTTAACAGCTTCTCGAGCAATATCTCGGAAAGAAAATAATAAAGAAGTTATCAGCACTGCAAAATGTCTGATACACCTCCATTTGATTCATTTTTAAAATGGAAGTTGGGGATTGAAAGTGACAAGCAATATATCATCTTAGCTGTGGACAAACCCTACCCTTTGCTGAAATTGTGGCATGATTTTATCAAGACACAGAAAAATGATAGAAATCACACCTATGGCAATGGCTTTGTAAAAGGTAATTTCCGACATCTTTTGATGTTTGATTTTAGTGGGATGCGCAGACGCAGTAAGGTGAAACGCAACTCGTGTTGCGTCCGCGACATCAGCCGCTGACTGACCTCGATTTCTAGCCATGTTTAAGCCTGTCTCAGTATTGGCCATCTGGGGCAAACTCCGACCTTTTCTTCTATTTCTGGAAATAACGCATCCTTGCTGCAAGCATCTTTGCAACGATCTCAATCATTTTCAATCTATTATCTTTGTACTTAATTCGGCTTCTCGGAGCCATTGTCTTTATACCATACACGTTGTATTCGCAAAAAAAAAACATTTGAAAACAACGACTTGAACGCTAGAGGCGACTTCAGTGTTAACCCGGCTACGTTTTATCATTCCTTAGGGATTTTAGTTCTAATAGCCCAATTAAATTTTTGTGCACAGCCTGTGAATCAAATCTATGAAGTAAAATATTGTATCCTTCCTCGTACTAGTTTATAAGGATGAGTTTGCTAGTACCTGTATGGCTTTACACAATGATATTTTCCAGGCTCCAAAATAATCACTTTCCTAATTAACATTTCCCTTAAATCTAATGGCTTGCTCGCCCTGACAGCCCAGCCTCATGAACTAGTCCGCAACAGGTGTGAGAAGCAAATGAATGACAGAAATAAGCGACCCTGCTCCCTTATACACCTTTCTCAATGCCGTTCGCTTAGTTTGAATGTGGCATTTAAGACATTTTGTTTATACTACACATTTTTCTATTTAGCCAGGGTACCTGCATAATTATTTGATAATGGTGTTCACAAGAAAATGGTTGGGTTGAAATATGTCATAATGTTTTGCCAGCAGGTAACTGTATTAATGAAAAATGTTTAAAAAAAATGCGCATTCAATGTATATCCTGAGTTGTTGCATCAAGTTGGCCAATTTTCACAAATACTCAAGCCCTTTTAAAACCTCTTATGTTAAAATTTTGTCAGAGTGAACTAGTGAAAGTCTTAGTTGATGGTCAAATGAATACTTTTTTTTCACATCAATAAAATGTATTGTTGTTTTTCATGGTAACCGTGATGTTGCCACAACTCCAGTTTCCAGGACAGAATTTCATAGAGGCTACCATAGCAGAATCTCTTTCATGGGTCAATAACAACATCGAATCAACTTTAAAACTAAATATAAAACTTGATTGATCTTTGGATTAGTTTCTATTATGCACAAAGATATTCTAGCTCTAGCCTGTCTTCATTGAAATCTACCAGATGGTAGACAAATTTAGAATTTCAGTGGCTAGAGTTGCCAGGATAGAGGATAGTTGGTTTCAAGACATGTACATTGATATGCAATTACAGCATCGGTCTTTCCAGCCAGAGCAGTTGAAAGAAGAAAATTTAAACATCGACTCGAGTTGAAATGTGACTTTTCTTTCTAATTTTCTACGCTTATCAGAGGAGTTTGACAGTTTAGAAAACCCCTTTGAAGTAAACAGTCATAAATGGCGCATCAGGAGAAGGTATAAGAGATGTGAAGTACGATTCTGGCACATTGTTTCAGTGACTTCTGATCCCGCGTGTAAACCCTTTGATGGACCGGTGATATCTAGATCTTAACTCGAAGTCGTTTAACGTCGTTTCATTCTGTCTAAACCAAAATTAACAAACACGGGCAATAAAATATCATTTCAACCGATACAGACATCTACGGAAGAAAACATTCTATACTCTTGACAATCCGTTCAAACAATACGGAACGTCAACGAAAGTCTTCAGCTGCTTGAAAATACCGCTGACTAGCACGCATGTTGACATGTTGATCACTTTGCAAGTTGTGAGAATATCTTCCTTCCGTTCCACATCTCGTTAACTCTTCGAGAGCCAGTGCATAGGAATTTTTAGAAGTTGAAGGGCTGGAAAATAAACTCACTGGAACTCCGCTTTAAGGGTTGGCATTATAAGAGAAACTCAAATAGTGTCTAGCATCTAAATTTTCCTTACAGCGTCAACCTAAATCAAAAATTAAGAACACGAGAATATAGTAACTGATCACTAACTTAAGAAGCTCTTAACTGTTAAACCAATTCTCTTTGTCTGTTCCTTTGGAAATATACAGAGAATAATAAGGAGAAAATGTATTCTAATTTCAAACGACTCAAAATCCGCGCCAAAGCGTAGCGCATGCGCAGACGTTATTCAATTCTGTCGTTCTGGACGTCTGAGTGAATTCCAACCTTAGTATTCTTTACGGTTCTCGAGTGCAAAAATACGGGTACATATTTTTTTTTAAAGAGATAATCTTTCCCCTATCTTGAATCGCAAGGAAAAGGAACGACTTACTAAGCGCGAATGCTCGACACAGACGCTCTTTAGAGTAATCGCAAAGATATTTGACGTAATACAGAAACGACTCAGTCTCTATCGTATATGACTAAGGAGAGTCATCGCAACAATACTGCTCTGCTAAACGTTTACATTCCACTAATTTGTGACACAAGGTATCGTACAAAACTTTGTAAGTAGCTTCGCAGCCTCCTTTTTGTTTCCAAGCCATTAACATTTTATAAGCCTTCTCTGCCAGCTCCTTATTGGCTTGATCAAAGTCATCTATTGCAGCTTCATTGAATCCCAGGCGTCTTCCTAATGTCTTCCATTTTCCTGCAAGTTCGCTGGACAGGCATTCCAACTCCTCATCTGATGGTTCACCATCTTTAACCAAATAGATACCTGAGGATAACAACGGAAGGAGAATAAAAAACTAGAAAAGGGATGCTTCAAGGCTTTGGCGAATAGCGAACAGTTGTGGCGAAAGGCGACTTCTCACCTTTTGGTATCATTCAATACCGAATCGTCTGCCCTAAAGATTGTCAAGCTTGAGCGAGGATACATTTGCAGCGTTTTTTTTTCCCAACCCATACATAAAAAAAATAAAAACGCTTAGGAAGTTTTCCAGACTCTTTATCTATTTCTGACCTCTTATTTCGCGTATGGCCCGACAAGCATCTTGAAAATGGAGGTCATTAACGTCTCTTAGCTATAGTCTCCAGCCGTTAATGCTGGAATAGGTTAATGTTGTTCAAGATACACGTGTTGGATTAATGATAGAGCCCACTTTTAATTCATTATTTTTTATTCTCTTATATAAGTGGGTAAAGAGGATGTCTAAGAAATATAATGCCAGTCTTTCTGCATAAACAAATTTTACCATACATAAACGCGTGTAAACAACATGCAAACTTGAAAAAAAATACAATTAAAAAGGAAAATCCATCGCGACATTTTCAATCTCGGTACTACCTGTAGATTGGTGTATCTTCTTCCTAGGAGCTGCAACAGGGCTGCATGACGATGATTCAGAATTTGGATGCTTTACGATTGAATGTTTCACACTTTGGGAGGAGATACCCGCAGAATTTTTTTTCGTCATCACTAAATTTTGACAAATTTTGGCCTAAGCCGACAAATCGTAAAACACATCGCCGACAAATTTGTCTCAAGTAAAATCTGGACAAAATTAATTAAATAAGCAAGACCGTGATAAACTTGTCGATTAATTATCGCAAAAGCTACGAACAGCGTGTAGCTGAACTGAAATCAGTTTACTACAGAGGCAAAAATTCTCTTTTTTGTCGCAAAACTCTGGGATTCTAAAATTTTAAAATAGCTTTGAAAAATCCTAGAAATTGGAGGTGGAATCCTTTGGCAGACTAGGTCGAGCGGTAAGAGAATTTTTCAACTTTGAAATTTATAATGTAGATGTAACACTCAAGCAAACTTTTATCCTTTGATTTTGCCAGGACAATTTTTAGGCTGGAGTCATGAAAATCGCGAAAACTCGGATATGCATTGATTAAGAGTATAAGATAAGATTACCGTATGACTCTCCTTCTCCAGGCTTGTCCCCCACTTCTTTTGCAATTTGTAGATGACGCTCACGGTACTCGATTGCCTTACGAAAGTTGCCTAAGCTATGAAAGGCATTACCAAGACTTCCATAAGCCCGTCTCTCTCCAGCTTTATCCCCCACTTCTTTTGCAATTTGTAGACGACGCTCGTGGTAACTGATAGCCTTATGAAAATCGCCTAAGCCATAACGACGGCATTGCCAAAAATTCCATAAGCCCGTCCTTCTCCAGCTTTGTCTCCTTTGTCTCCCTTCTTTTTGCAATTTGTAGATGACGCTCGTGGTAACTGATAGCCTTATGAAAATCGCCTAACTGCCGATAGGCATTGCCAAGATTTCCATAAGCCCGTCCTTCTCCAGCTTTGTCTCCCACTTCTTTTGCAATTTGTAGACGACGCTCGTGGTAACTGATAGCCTTATGAAAATCGCCTAAGCCATAATAGGCATTGCCAAGATTTCCATAAGCCCGTCCTTCTCCAGCTTTGTCTCCCACTTCTTTTGCAATTTGTAGATCACGCTCGTGGTAACTGATAGCCTTATGAAAATCGCCTAACTGCCGATAGGCATTGCCAAGATTTCCATAAGCCCCTCCTTCTCCAGCTTTGTCTCCCACTTCTTTTGCAATTTGTAGACGACGCTCGTGGTAACCGATAGCCTTATGAAAATCGCCTAAGCTATGATAGGCATTGCCAAGATTTCCATAAGCCCCTCCTTCTCCAGCTTTGTCTCCCACTTCTTTTGCAATTTGTAGATGACGCTCGTGGTAACCGATAGCCTTATGAAAATCGCCTAAGCTATGATAGGCATTGCCAAGATTTCCATAAGCCCGTCCTTCTCCAGCTTTGTCTCCCACTTCTTTTGCAATTTGTAGATGACGCTCGTGGTAACTGATAGCCTTATGAAAATCGCCTAAGCTATGATAGGCATTGCCAAGATTTCCATAAGCCCGTCCTTCTCCAGCTTTGTCTCCCACTTCTTTTTGCAATTTGTAGATGACACTCGTGGTAACTGATAGCCTTATGAAAATCGCCTAACTGCCGATAGGCATTGCCAAGATTTCCATAAGCCAGTCCTTCTCCAGCTTTTTCTCCCCTTCTTTTTGCAATTTGTAGATGACGCTCGTGGTAACTGATAGCCTTATGAAAATCGCCTAAGCTATGATAGGCATTGCCAAGATTTCCATAAGCCCGTCCTTCTCCAGCTTTGTCTCCCACTTCTTTTGCAATTTGTAGATGACGCTCGTGGTAACTGATAGCCTTATGAAAATCGCTTAAGCTATCATAGGCATTGCCAAGATTTCCATAAGCCCCTCCTTCTCCAGCTTTGTCTCCCACTTCTTTTGCAATTTGTAGATGACGCTCGTGGTAACTGATAGCCTTATGAAAATCGCCTAAGCTACGATAGGCATTGCCAAGATTTCCATAAGCCTGTCCTTCTCCAGCTTTGTCTCCCACTTCTTTTGCAATTTGTAGATCACGCTCGTGGCACCTGATAGCCTTATGAAAATCGCCTAAGCTATGATAGGCATTGCCAAGATTTCCATAAGTCCCTCCTTCTCCAGCTTTGTCTCCCACTTCTTTTGCAATTTGTAGACGACGCTCGTGGTAACTGATAGCCTTATGAAAATCGCCTAAGCTATCATAGGCATTGCCAAGATTTCCATAAGCCTGTCCTTCTCCAGCTTTGTCTCCCACTTCTTTTGCAATTTGTAGACGACGCTCGTGGTAACCGATAGCCTTATGAAAATCGCCTAAGCTATGATAGGCATTGCCAAGATTTCCATAAGCCCGTCCTTCTCCAGCTTTGTCTCCCACTTCTTTTGCAATTTGTAGACGACGCTCGTGGTAACCGATAGCCTTATGAAAATCGCCTAAGCTATGATAGGCATTGCCAAGATTTCCATAAGCCCGTCCTTCTCCAGCTTTGTCTCCCACTTCTTTTGCAATTTGTAGATCACGCTCGTGGTAACTGATAGCCTTATGAAAATCGCCTAAGCTATGATAGGCATTGCCAAGATTTCCATAAGCCCGTCCTTCTCCAGCTTTGTCTCCCACTTCTTTTGCAATTTGTAGATGACGCTCGTGGTAACTGATAGCCTTATGAAAATCGCCTAACTGCCGATAGGCATTGCCAAGATTTCCATAAGCCCGTCCTTCTGCAGCTTTGTCTCCCACTTCTTTTGAAATTTGTAGATGACGCTCGTGGTAACTGATAGCCTTATGAAAATCGCCTAAGCTACGATAGGCATTGCCAAGATTTCCATAAGCCTGTCCTTCTCCAGCTTTGTCTCCCACTTCTTTTGCAATTTGTAGACGACTCTCGTGGCACCTGATAGCCTTATGAAAATCGCCTAAGCCATGATAGGCAAAAAAAAAGAAAAAGAAAAGAAAACCAGCCTTTGGGTGATGCCTTATCATCGGCCGTTGAGCCTTCTACACAGGAGATTGATATTGAAGTGAAACAATTTATTAAAAAATCACCCGTCGCAGTTTGAGGATAAGTGTTAACAAATGTTTTGTTCCCCCCTCCTTCTGCATTCCAGGAAGCACCATAACCTAAACATAGCCACTGCTGGTAGAGAAGAGAAGGGAGAAGGCAACAAGGTTCTTCTAGATGTTTTAGCATGCCTTTGGCAAAAGTGCTTCACATCACCGATGATTGGAAACAATTAAAAAGTCCCATTTATTGAGCATGACATGCAGAAACTATAGTGGGAAGCCATTGCTTAGGTTCTGCTTTATGGTTACCAATGGGCCAATTACTGCCTAGTAAATTTTTTACATCTTTTTGTGGCCTTGTATCTTTATGGGTATGAAGTTATCACTTCAGAGACGTTGATATGAAGACTTAGTCAATTTGTAACTACAAAAGATAGAAAAGCATTGTACAAGTGCCTTGGCGATGATTTTAAACCTAATGATGAAGATGTCTTAGAATTTTTACATTATTCAAGTGTTTTAACCCTTTGCATCCTAACATCAGCATACTTTTTTTCGTACTGTTCTCTATGCATATCCTATGGTGCTGACAAAGAGAATTTGTTTAACAACCAAGAGCCTCTTTAGTTCGTGATCATTTCCTTTATTCTCATGATCTTAATGTTTGTTTTAGAGGGGATACTGATAGGAGAAAATGGTCACTAATCACTCTTAGAGATCAACTGGTGAAGTCCAATTCTCAAGATATTATGCTCTAAGGAAAACTTTCAGTCCCTCGAGACTAAAGCAAGCCGCCAAATTAATTAACAAGTTATTCAGAGCTGAAGAACCAACTGAAGCAGAACTGACATCCTTTGAACAACTGAAACGGTTTATAGAGTCACTGAATTGCAAATCTTTACCCATATTTCTCTGGATCTGCACTGGTAGTGATGTGATCACTGTACGTACACAACATAGATGTGCACTTTGCTATCCTTGAAGAGTAGCATTGACGTCCTTTTGCCAGAACATGTAGACCATTGCTAGAACTTCCATCTACATATGAATCATACCCAGCACTCCTTGAGGAGTTCACTAATGTAATGAAAGAGGAGCAAGCCTGTTTTGTGGTATTGTTGAGTATGGAAGATGTGAACAATTTGAAATGAACACTCAGAATGCTTTGAAATGAATAATTTGAAATTTGCTTCTTAGTTTTTACAATTTTTTATGTTATGCATAACATTTTCACATTACTGGTATAAGGCTTTTTTTTAACACAGAATACAAGTTACTGTTGATGGCATTTTCTAAACTTTCCGAAAAAAAAAAGAATTAGGTCACAAATTTATATCTATTCAAATGTCATTACAGTTGTCACTGGCAGTTAGTTTGGTTACAAGTTAGAAAGCCTTTCGAGAAAAATAAAATATGCAAGTTTCATGACTACAAACTCTAAATTAAAATTTTATCAGCTGATCTCTAATATCACTAAGACTTTAAGTAGTAAGTGTAAGTGGTCATAACATAACAAGATTTTAATTGTCAGCCCCTTGGAATGCGAAAACTCGGGGTAAAAGGTGACATGTCGCTTTTACTACCATTACGTGTCTTCTAGGAGATCAATGCCTGAATTTTAAATTGCACGAAATACTACATTGATTTCAGTGGACTACTTACACCGCCAAATAAATGCATCTACAAAAGTGAAAATGGTTCGATGATAAATCAGTGAAAATAACAGCATCTATCAAGATTACATCAAAATTCAGGAGTCATACTTGAAGTTATCATTAAGGGTCAATTATACTGGTGACAGCCGTCAAAAAATGTCATTACTTTCATTTTATACCTCCAGACAAATCGTGAAGCATGAAAATTTTCATCCTCTCTTAGTGTTCAATGCAATTTTGAAACTATTGAAAAAAAATTATTACCATTTCATTATACAAGCTTCGAACGCAACAGCATAACTTCAGTCTTATTCACTGGTTGATCTTCACAATGTTTTATGTTGTAATTAACACAGCGTCTGCATTAAACTTTCCTATGTGAGGGAGGGATAACAATGATCATGTACAAGTACTTCCATTATCATCAAAGGAAATATCAAAATAATTTTGATTAGACGCTGATAAATGTTAAATTCAATATTGAAACTTTCAATGATCGTTACAGTGTTCAGAAAGTGCTTAATTCCATTGTTTCCATTCTCAGAGAGAGGGTCAGTCCTATTGTGTTATTACTGTAAGCTGACTGTGTGACTCTGGCACAATAAACATTGTTTTCTGTTTCAATATCAGTCATTATCAAAGTCAACCATCATAATCAATTCCAAATGTCTACCAATTTGTGCATTAGCCCCACATTTTAGACTGCCTGTAACATGAAAATTGCAGCGCTTGTTATCTGACAGCTTGCTATTTTTAAAAGAACCCATTTTAGCAAGTTATCCATTTCTAGGTTTGCAACATTAGACAAGCCGTTCTTGTATAGTAAACCTAGAAAACATAGTAAGCGGTCAGATAACAGGCGATGCACTGTGGAAGTAAAGTGAGGTATTTTTATTGAGAATTTGACTGTATTTTTTTTCCCAACAGCGGTCGTAAATATTCCCATATAAACTCTTATAATTTCGCCATGGCTGCTATTTCGCAAGATGATCAACTCACAGCTGGAGCTTGGGCTGCCTGTGATTGGAGATTTCAAGGCATGTTCCTATACTTATCCAGTTTAAACTAGTCTCACGCAGTTGCTCGATCATTTCCTTTGTAATAGTGTACGCCGGTCTCCCTCCTGAACTTGCAGAGAATGCCAATGGAATTTTTTCCTTTAGACAAAGGCATGATACATTTAAAATATCTGACGTCTTTCTTAATAAGACGACTAAAGACAATTCTAACAGCTCAAACAGGTTTGAAGAGGAATTTTGAGACAGTGATATGGCGATAAGCATTGTTGTGTATTCCTAAAGCTTCCTGGCACAGATTTCTAATCCTACATGAACAATGCGTGATAAACGAAAGTCCCTTTCAATGTTGCTCTTTAGAGAATCAACAAACTTTGTAAAGTATTCTGCACTAAGTTGCTCCGTCATTTTGAGAGAAATATTCCGCTTACTAGCTGTTGTTCACCGGCTCAGAAAAATTAATCGATAATCTCGCATAGTGATTTCTTTTTCTCACGCAACAATTTCTCATTCTCAACAGTTAATATTTAATTCTCAGTATATTGCTACATCAGTCTTTTTCTCGATTAAGGTTTTATCATTCTCGATGGGTAATTTAAATTATTTTTTTTTTTTTTTTTTTAGGCACGGTAACGAATCTTGCAATTTTGATTGGTTCCTTACCCGGTCAGTATTTTCCTATCTCTGCCCACGGGCCACGGTAACGCTTTCGTGAGTCGCTAAGTACATCCCAACCTTCGTTGCCATTTTTCATAAACGTATCTCGTTTTTCACGGACCTCCCAGCCGGCAAATAACATATATATATATATCGCATGACAGTTCTTCATTCTCATACAGTGATTTCCATTTCTGATGTAGTGGTGATGTGTAGGTTAATTTCAAATTGTTTTTAAGACATAGTCTGGTAACTAATTATTAGTACCAAGCTGAGGCTAAGGGGCGCTTATTTTGAAAGCAAGATCGGAGTGACTGTAAGTCGAATATGAAGTTTTGTGCCATTTCTGTGTGCAAAGGCGTACTAGACTCAGGTATCGTTTCTTCAGCCTCTTGCTCCTGTTGACTATCCGCTGCCCGAGTTTCTACTAGATCCAACAATGCGCTCTACCCAGTCACTGTCAGACTCTGAATTTCAGTCAGAGGCTGGCTGAAAGTTGTTCTGACTGTCCTCCACAATAGAAGTCAAAATCTTACTGCCAATATGTGCCTCACCACCCTAACTCTCTCATCTTTCTTTCCTCTAAATGCAATAAAGTTCAAGTTTACCTACTCTAAGGGATGGCGACTGGTTTCTGTGATAGAGATCTTCCTAGTCAATGTCATTGTAGCCCTGTTTCTTTATTTCGGCACACTTCCCTTCATTATCTGTTCGCCGCTTATCTTTTCTCATTTCAATGTCAGTTAGATGCTCAATATAATCTGCAACAAGCTTTCTGAGACAATGCATTTTTCAGAAAACTCTTTGATTGCCTTTTTATCCCCTGCTTTGAGCTTACCCTTTTGAAACATCTGATTTATTTGAGCTCAAGGCTGATAATCATCAGGTTTGCGGCCACTCGTAGATGTTTTCGTAGGTGGAGGAGGTGAAAGTCGGGAAGTTTGGTGTAATCGGGATTGGTTCGTGGAGTTTGTTTGCCTGGAGAAGGACTTACAAAGTCTCAAAGTTTATACTTCCATATTCAAACTTCAGCCATACAACGTTAATATCCCACAGTGAATGTTCGCAATTTCTTGTTTCACCTCACACACATTTAATATCGAGATATATTTACATTCAAACATTTTGCGTTCACAAGCGAAACGTTCTGAGATAACTACGGCATGGAACATACCACGAGGTAGTGAGGGGAGTGTCGCACTTTTGTCAGTCACCTAAAGGTGGGGGGTCAGGAGTTTTTTCTATTAAAAGGCCAGGGAGGGCCAACACTTTTTTTGGAAAAAAATACCAAAATTCCCCAGCCACCCCCCTCCAAGAAGAAACGTACCCTAATTCTTTAAGATCGAAGAGAGCGACATCGCACCGAGCTTTATCTTCGCGATGTAATTTCGGTATCAGGTCACTGAGCCGCGAGAAGTCGGATTTACTCAGTCCGGCCGATCAACATTACAGAGAAGTACGAAGTCTTACAAATACCTTTGTATATTCTTGTGGTAACAGAGAAAGTTTGCGTCGCAAAATAAACTTCGTTTCGACCGGGCTTAACTGTTGTTAATCAGAAACAGTGAACCAAAAAGCTTAA